GACGCATCCTGGCCAGGACGCGTCCGGGAAAAATGGCACGTATGGTCACCCTAAGTTACCTTTAAAAAAAAAATTTCAGAGAAAATATTGCCTCTTAACAAAAGTTAATTTCTGACACGGTCAGTCTTGACTGGTATTGTTTGAATTCCGCCATTGTTTATTCAGGAAACGAGCCAATCGCTGGCCGTGGCTACGTCATCTCGGCAGACACAAACAAAACCATGCAGTAAGCCTCAAACACACACACACACACACACACACTTTCCCCGCAAAGTTGACCACGATAAGCGTGTGTTTGCGTGTATTGGACGCTGGTTCTCTACCTGTTTTGGCTTTAGAGTCTGCAGGAGTCGGGCCTGTAGAGCTGGAGCGGGGCGGGATCTTCGTGCTGCTGCTGTTGTTGGCGTTTAGGTTTTTCTCCATATTGACGCCGAACTCCGGGGAAAGATCCTCCGAGCTCTCTAGCATTAAACGGGGAGAACAACGGGTCGTTGCGAATGCGGGTCAGGCGACGAAGGCCCTTATTAATTTCTGTCAAACGCGGAGACCCCATTACGGCGACATCTTGACCACAAACAAACCGAGAGAAAAACAGAGACACAATTCAAATGTCTCAGTAAAAACGCTGTGCTAACGCAAAAAAACAAGTGCCCAAAAAGCGGGGCCTCGCCCCCTTGAAAAGTGCCGTTTTTCCTTGGCGTGGGAAGTGTTGCGCCCCACAAGGCGTTAACCGCTCTCCAAAAGAGGAAAACGGATGAATAAATGGGTTTTAACCCAAATGTTAGTTCAGCTAAATAATGTCAGACATATGGCGACGGGTCGCCAATCGGGAACCGTAAACACCCGGATGAGGGTTATACGCCTCGCAGGTTTACGAGGTGCGCATGCGCGGATTCAGCCATTCTGATTGGTGCATTTGACTGCAAAATGTGTAATGTATGTGTAATCTTGCACTCGCATACTTTTTATAGACAGATAGTCCTGTTTCTGCTATCGAAGCATTTATTGTTGTTCATATTTGGTTTATTCGAAAGAGACGTTTACAGACGTAAACAGAAGCAGCAGTATATATTTTAATCAATACAGAAAACAATACATATACGCGTGACCTACACAGCACATGGCCAGAGTTCATACAGGAATATCAGTAATCTGAATGATACACTCCATTTACAAATCCCAAAATGCTGCAGAAAAAAAAAAGCAAATGTGTCTTGTGGTATAAAAAATGTTGGGGCTCCACATGAACCCTTTACTATCAGTACATAAATTATCAGTGTATCTCCCTGATTACTGCATGGTTAAACTACTTTCTATGAGGGGATTTATGTCTCTTCATCACCATCATCATCATCATCGCTTCCATCTTCATCAGCTTCCTCCTCTCTGACATTACTCAGGGAACAGCTCAGGATCGCTCTCCTAACCTCTTGTTTCTCGGCTGTGTTGTGGACAGAAAGAGAAAGTGTGTATACAGTATGTGAAACTTCTACATCAGTGGTTCTCAAACTTGGTGGATTAAAAGAATAGTTCAAAATTAACATTCTGTTATCATTTACTCAGCCTCAGATTATTCCAAACCTGATTTGTTTCTGCTGAATCCTCTGTTGTGTTCAGCAGAAGAAAAAAATCAGGTTTGGAATAACTTGAGGCTGAGTAAATGTTAACAGAATGTTCATTCTGAACTATTCTTTCAGAAGAAAGAAACCTGTACAGGTTTATAGTATTGTATTTCCAGATATGCATGGCTTGCCAACTGGGGGCGCTCTTTTTCAAAATAAATAAATATACTGTTATATATTGTGCTTAAAATTATGGAAGCCCTTAAAGGCCATGCATTATATTTTTTCTTTATTTGTTATTTTCTTGTGATCTCAACAAAGTTTGTTTTCTCTTCATCTCAACATAACAAAATAGTTGTTTATTGTGATCTCGACTCGATTTTCTCATGATCTTGACATAACTAATGTTTTGTTTTCTTGTGATCTCGACAAAAAAAAAAAAAGTTTGTCTTATCTTGACATGGAAAGCTGTTTTCTCGTGATCTTAACATAAAATAGTTGTGTTCTCATTATCTCGAGATAAATAACTTGTTTTCTCATGGTCTACAACAAAATAGTTGTATTCTTGTGATCTCAACAAGTTTTTTTGTGATCAACGACAACAAAAAAAAAAAAAAAGTTGTTTTCTTGTGATCGCGACCTTAATTTTCTTGCAATCTCGAAATAAGTTGTTTTTCCATGATCGCTACTTCATTTTCTCATGATCTCTAAATTTAAAAAGTTTTTCTTGTGATGTCAATAAAATAAATGTCTTCTCATGACTACAATTAAAATTAATAATAATAATATAATAAATAAACAAAAAAAACAAACAAAAATGTATAATAATAATAATAATTGCAGACAGACAGAGAGATAGATAGATAGCAAAAACAGTCATTTTTGTTCTGTTTCAGAGTTCTAAATCTAGTTTATACAACTCATTCATATCGGTGCTCATTCACGCGAGTGTCAATCACACAGTGTGAATTATCAAAGACATGATCTGATAGAATCGCTGATGCCTGTGAAATATTTGGCATGCTAAATATCTGGACCTGTCAGCGATTCAAAATTCTGCTGTGTGAAATGCGTTCTGACTGAAAAATACATCGCCGTTGACTTACAGCCAATGAGAGAGCAAGATACAAGACAGCGGGAAGTTTGGGGAGGAGTTATAGACCACAATATCACAATAACCATTTTCTCAATAACCTACAATCTTTTTTCTTTTTCGCCCTTTCACTGCAAATCGGCGCACAGACCATTTGTATCGCAAACTTCTTGGGGGCTACCTTTTTAATACCATTTCAAGTCTCGTACAAGAATCTCACGCGTGAGCTTGTGTTATTTCCTCATCACTTCTGGCATGCGTTTGGTTGCGAAATGTAGTTTGCAGACCAGACAGAGTTGTCAGCGATTCTTCCTATTGTTAAGTCATACAGTGTGTAACCTCCTGTCGCCGATCCATTGTGCAGTGTGAACACAGCAGCAGCAACTGAATGCTACCCCAGATAGTCGTGCATTGTGAAAACAACAGTGATCCAATGACTTTAAAAATTGTGCAGTGTGAAGTTGTGAACTCAGCTTTACTGCTATATTTATTCCAAAACAGAAGTGACTTAATAATGTGTATTCTAATTTTCATGTATGTGAGTTTTCATGAGTGAAAACACAACTATTTTGTCGAGAACACAAAAAAGTCATCATAATAAGACTTTTTTTTGTCATGATAATTAATATTATAATATATTACAATATAATACATTATAATTAAGGATAGACTGTAATATAACAGAAAGAACACTTACCGTCTGTCTTGCAGTCTGGCAGCATTCTGTGGAGCTGTTGTCTGTTATATTTAACAAGGAACTTCTGACATGTTCTAATCGTTCCTGTGGAAGAGATCAGGGAAGGGCATGGATGGCTGTAAGAGCACATGGTGTGGAGTTTGGTGTCAGATGGAGGCTAAACTAGACAGAACCTCTCTTACCTCCAACATGTAAGCAGTTGAGGAAGCACTGCACCTTCTGGCCTCTGTTCTCAAGGCAGGTGATGAAAGAAAGGGCAGACCAGATGAGTCGATAGTGTTTTTTCCTGCTGCGTATCAGGACCACTCCAGTGTGGGCGTTCAGGTATTTCACTACAGGAGATTTGACAAGATTTTATCTTTCTGTAATGAGACATTAAACTGAGCTAAATAAACGTAAAATTAAGCTACGTAATTGCACCGCATCAAAATAACGGTAACGTAAAACGAGCAGCAGTCTGATTCTTTCTTATCTGGTTGAGATCTTAATAGGCACAAAATAATAACAAGCCCAGTGTTTACCTATCACCCCTATGTTAAAGAGCGCTGATCCGTAGTCGCCGTGCGCTCGGTTCACGGCTGCTCTGAGTGTGTTGTAGATGGTTCTGTCCTCCAACAGCTGAAGACTGCTCCGATCAGGGACGCAAACCTCACACAGCAAATACCTGGACAGGTCACAGAATAACGAGAGGTTAGAACTGTTTATAAGTTTAAAAAGCGCAAAGTAACTCCTTTCCTTCATTACCTCGACTTGAATCGGACCATATTTCCGACACGTGCATAACTGGCTTTGAAAACACTGCGATTTACTTCCGGGTTTCTTTTGGCCAATAATATTCCTCGTGGCCAAAGGGGGCGGGGTGACGGCTTGACATCAAAATCACTAATGTATTTTTTTAATTACTTTAATAAGCCATTTTAATCAGTATCACAATATTCACAGTGGCAAAATCGTACTTCCGAACACCACTACAATATAAACAGAAGAATACTGAGCATATGCGTTATATACGTTTGGAATGACAACAACTGCAATTTTCACTATTCAGTGACAACAGAACAATGAAGACAGAGATTTTAAATATCAAGACTTGATATTTAATGTGCAAAACATCTTTATACATAGGCTAACTCACATTTGTGATTTTAGATGTCACAATAATGCCACTTGTGAAGTGATAAGGGTTGCAGATTTAGCTGAAGCATTTAACAGAAATAAAGAATGTGTGAATACATATGGTTTAATAGTGCAGCTATCTGAATTATCATGTTCAAGTGAAACACCAAAATAGCCATACTGAGAAAAGATCAAATAAAATAAATACATTTAAGTGCATTAAACTCATTGCCTTGAGTATATCACAGTGTGGACGGCTTTAAACATTTTAAAATGTTGCTTAATGTAAACTTTATTTTACTTGCAGACACAAACACACTCAATTTATAGATACACACTCAATCCCTCCAGGGTGTTGACCAGTGCGTTTGAAATTCTTGGGCATGTTTTCGAAATAGTGGTGCCAAGTGCCTTTACTGTTCAAAAGCCAAACACGCTGACCTAAGACAGGAAAATACACCAGCAAAAGTTGCTGACATTTGCGCACAGCACACAAACCCCAGACAGTGAAGCCACACAATCAGTGACTCTTAAAAGCTTTACCTCATCGCAGATGTGCAGGGCGAACATTAGAACAAGGAAACCCGTGGACGAATAAGATCGCCTAATGTGCAGCCATGTAGAGCGCACATAATGCATAAACACAGGGTGCATAACCATTACCTGGATGAACGAGAAGACAGTTATAAGCCACTTTAGAAACTACAATGAAATCTAAGAGGCTGAGAAAATCTGGGACTCAGAACCTGATTAAGAAGAAAAAAGTTTGCATGAGTGTTTGCACTATTACGTATTGTGGTGATGCTAAATGGTTCACATGACATGTAATAGGCCTATACAATTATCGCAAGCCCAGTCTGTGTATTAGTGTCCATAGATATATGTCTCCTTGGTGCAGTTTGTAGAGACAAAGCATACTTTCTTACGCCCAATTATATCAGATCAAATGTCTTTAACTCTTTTTGTTGAAAGGTTTATTGTTGAAACACAAAATCCAAATACTGATCTTACTTTGTCCTTGTTGGCTTGTAGCAAGTCTATAACCATAAACCGAGTTCTGTAATACATTAAGAGAAAAAAGGAACTAAACTAAATTAATTAAATAAACTAAATTATTTACGCATCATGGTTTGATTATGTGAAAACAATTTTTTTTGCAGATATATAGATATGAATTGTGTGAAGAATTTAGTGGAAAACATGTTAAACAATGATAAAAAAAATGTCAGTGCAAATACGTAATTGTTGTAAAAACAGGCTAATACCGTGTATATATATATATATATATATATATATATATATATGTGTGTGTGTGTGTGTGTGTCTAAGAAGAATGT